AAACTCCTAGTCTGAAACCTCCTGAGGGGAGGGTGTCTGAAAGTGGCAAGGAAACTAATGCAAGCTGTTTGTGTTAATGCGTTTAAGATGCTGGCACCAGAGCTACCACCAGTGTTTCACTACCCATGCAATTGTTTTTTTGGGAGGGAGGAGCAATTAAAAAAAATCATCAATTTGAAAACACTCAGAAAACTAAGCATCTGCAAAACTAATTTGAAATTAGGTACTAGAAGTTTAAGTTATAATGTATCTTTCAACTGAATTAGTAAAGTCAGTCTCTACACAGATATCACAACCAGTAAAAGCATGACTTTTACTTATAAGCAAATCCCACCCACTTTTCAAAATACTGAAAATGAAAATCCTTTAAAGACCTGAGATAGTATATAATTTTACTCATACAGGTGCCTAAACAGAGCTTGCAGCTTCAAGGCCAAATAATGTTTTTATGAAACTGTTCTTAAAATAATTAAATTTCTAACTTGTAGACAAAATACGTTTTTATATTAATAGAGAATAGTAATTTAGGCTTTTGATACAAAATAAAGGAGTTATTGCAAAGGCTTTAAAATTTGTAAGTCTAGCATTTGCTAGGAAATATTTACTAGTGGAAATATTTGGAAGCTAGGCATTTCAATCCACAAAAAGAATAGGTTAAAAACTACAGATCCTCATGGAAAACAATGAAACAATTCAGCCATGCTTACTCAGCTTGAAAAGGCTCAAAATATTATAGGATGTCAACTGCAGACAGCACCAGGTACATTGATTACATCAATATTTAAAGCGCATAACTTCATGATAATACAACGATCTCCGCATAAGAACCCGCAATTTTTCTAACTACTGTGGGGGACACATCCACCCCCGAACTATATGATTCCAAGAAGAAAATTAGCAAAGACTTAACAAAATGTAAATGAACAATTTCTAAAGAAAACGTGTGCTATTAAAATGTACGTAATCTTCAGTTTAGAAGACGAGATCTGGCTCTTGCAGGGAGGGGGCTGTTTTACAGCAGAATACATTAGAAGATTAGCTGTTCTGCGCTACAGGAATTTAACCAAGTGAAAGAATGATTAAAAATAGTGTAATATGATAATAATCCACAGAATCAGGTTGTTATGAGAACATATCAATCTTCTAATTTGGTTGGCACTCTCTCTCAATTATATCTGTCTTTTTTGTGGAGTTAGAAAGAGGTTTATGCTTTCATAAGGCATATTATAGTGTGCCACAGAAATAGGTCAGGGACAACACACAGTGTTGTAATCACCTTAAATATACGTATGCCTATCTCAGATACACTATTGGTATCTGATATGGTATGGTGTACCACTCTTCCATTAGGCAATGGTATGGCACATGATATAAAGAATGGAAGATGGGATCTTGTTTACTAAAAATATAAATTTAATGCAGTTGTACACATTCAAAGGATTCTTTCCAAGTAGCTCTTCCAAGTACATCTTATGCTCCATGTGGGATTGCACTAGACAAAGTATTTCCAACCTATAAACAATTTCTTGTGCATATAAAGACTTCCCATCTTTAGACAAAATTGCATTTCTCAGTATGAAAGCTTCAGAGTCTATTACTCTAGCAACGAGAGCAAAAACATCCCCGTACCTTGCACTTGCAACGAGCCTCACAGACTTTTTAATTTAGCTCCTGTATACACCTAAACATTCATACAAAACCACTGAAGAATTTAGTCTCCCGAGAACATCAGCAAAAGGCTTTCTGCATCAGCATTAAACATGAAATAATAATATAATCAATGAAGTTCTTTAAAACAAATTAACAAGTCTAATGACAAAAAGTCTCTTCTGATCATGCAAATATTTTGAACTTAAAAAAAAATATATTATAAATGCTAAGCCACAAAACATTTACCGATCTTACCAAATACAATTGCTCTGTTATTGCAAATAAATACTGAAGTACCCATGAATACTAGGCTTACCAAATACTAGATATAATTTATAAATACGATCTTTAGTCTCTGATATCCCGCTACATACAATTGCTTGGTTAGAAAAATAAAAAAGCCTTTATGATTTCACACTCTTCTTTTAAACACTCTGAAAATGCTTTCAAAATCCCTATCCCTTGACTACACATTTACATTGTTAGCTTATATCTCAACTTTATTATCAACATCTGATTGTTGTGCCTGGGGCAAGAACTTAACTCACAGAGCGCAACAATTATATTGCATATACTTGATTAATCTCTAAAAAGCACAAAAAAATGTATCGTATATGCTGGGAGAACAACAGAGAAAGGGACATCAAATATGTACCGGTGATAACAGCAGACCCATATAAAGGAAGTAAATCATTTGCAACGATAAAGTATTAGTTCCTTTTTATATGAGATTTTGAAACTCCACAGTGTTTTTTAACAGGTTTTCTCTAGTCCTGTCTATAGTCCTACAATATGCATTTTGTTAATACACACCAACTACCTCCACGGGAAGAGTGCCTAACTTGTACACATGAACAATCAAGCTGCAATCAGCATGGTGACAGATCAAGGTGCATCAGACCATGCTTCACAAATCATTGCTCACACATTACATCTCCTTTATTCAGTTTGCATACATAACCCACCCTCATTCTCTCGATTCACCACATACACTGCTGCCAACAAAGCACGTGCCAGTTGCCATTCCCAGAACAATACAGCTCACGGCATCCCCTGAAAGATAAAAATGCACATTCCTCGCATCTTTTATGCTAATGCTACTTCCCTCTCTTTGCCTTAAATCACTTCTGGTGCACGAGATGCCAAAACTCTGTGATGACTGAAGAAAGTACTTATACAATACTAGTAAAAACAGAAAGAGAAACATTTACTGAAAGCGTTAACTTCTCATTCTAACAATGCCTGTACCAAAACATTCTCAGAACTGCAAGTAGATGCAAGACAGTTAAAAATCAAAACCAAAATCAAAACCCTGGGACACACACCCTACACCGCACACCTTGAGAGCCACGAGAAGAGGAAGATACCTAAGCAAACAACTGAGGAAGAGAAAAAACATCTGTTATTTTCCTACACATACCTAGATCCAGAAACAGCCACTGGAGAAGGCTACGTTTCAGCTCCTCGCCTACCCAAGGCCAACTCTAGTCCCAGAAGCCGGTGCATTTAGTAACAACGCTTCCTCCTAACAATCACGGACCGCACACCGCTGGGGGGGGGGGGCACAATCAGGCAGGCGAGCGGCAAGAAGGATGTCAAGGGCTGCCGGCGGCTCCCCCACCTCCGCGCTACCGCTCCACGAGAGGAGGCTGGAAAGCAGCGGCACGAAGCGAGCCGTGCGGAAAGGCGGTCCACGCATCCCGGCGCAGCGCGGTTATTTCTTCCGCTCACTTCGTGCAACTCGCCCGGCGCTGCCCTCACCTCCCAGCAGGTGGGCCGGCCCCCTCCCCGCGGGGCGCCGTGCCCGGGCAGACCCCGCGCCTCCAGGAGCGCCTCCCCCGCTCGCCGGGGGCTGCCCCGGCTGCGCCCCCGCCCCCGGGGGTTGCCCTGGACCGCAGCGCGCTGCCCCCGGCGGGCCCCGGGCCGGGCACGACGCGGCCCCCCCGCCCCCCCCCTCCCGCTCCCTTCCGGGCCGGGCGGCGGCCCTGCCCCGCTCCCTCCGCCGCCCACCCCCGGCTGGGCCTAGCGCTGCTCGGCTGCCGCCGCCAGGCCCGCGGAGAGGGGGGAAGGGGATCCCCAGCCGGGCGGGGGGCCCCCCACTCACCCAGGCTGATCCCCTCAGGGCCGCCCCCGCCGCCTTCCATGCCGGGCGGCGCGGGGCGGGGGGCGCAGCAGGGGCGGCGGCGGCGGGCGGGCGGAGGAGGCGAGGCGGGCGGGCGGGCGGGCGGAGGGCAGGGCGGCCGGGGCCCTCCCTCCCCGCCTGCCTCCGCTCGGCCCCCCTCGGCCGCCGCCGCGGCGCTCGAGCAGCCTCCGCCTCGGGGTCGGGGGCGAGCTCGGGGGCAGGCCCAGGCCCGGGCCCCGCCACCGCCGGCGGACGCGGCTCCCGCCCGGGCTCCCGCTACCCTCGGCCGCCGCCGCAGCGCTACGTGGCCGCCGCAGCCCAGTCTCGCGACTCCGCCGCGCGCACGCGCGCGGGAGCGCGCCGAGGAGGTGGCTGCCGCGAGCGGGGCGGGGGGGGGGGGGCGCGCGCGCGAACGCGCTGGGCATGGGGGGAAACACCCATAGGCCGAGGGGAGCGCGAGCCGGGGGCGCATGCGCCGTCGGGCGGCCGCCGGTTCCCCGCCTGCCCGCGATTCACCTCGGGCCGCGGCGGAGCCGGAGGGGAGCGCGGCGCGCAGGTGAGGCCCGGGGGCGGGGGGCGCGCATGCGCGGGGTCCAGCGCCCCGCGGGGCTCAGGTGAGGGGGGAGGAGCACGGCGCTGGCTCCTCTTCGCCGCGCTCCCCCGGCGGGGCCGGCCGTTGCTCCGTGAGGTAGTTCTCGAGGCCGCCCTACTTGCAGTCAGCTGAGCCGGGCGAGCCGCGGCGAGCGCTTCGCCGCGCTGTGGCTGACCCTGGCCCGCGCCTCCCTCCGCGGCTCTGGCGAAGGCCCCGGTCGCAGCGTTGCCGCCGGCAGCCTGGGGAATAACGGCCGGAACGAGAGGCGGGCCGGTGCCGGGCCTCGGGGCCCTGCTTCGCCGGGATCAATGTGGGTAAGGCCTCACGGAGTGGCCGCCGTGCAGGGGCGGTGGTGGCGGGCTCGGGCTGGGAGGTGCCTTGGAAGGTGACTTGCCGTGTAGGGTGTCACGGAGCTGCGCCCAAGAGCCAGGTAAGACCTTAAAAAGGGCCTTATTAGCGAGGCCCAATTTGACTCGATGGAAGAGCCTATTGCTTCGGTTATGCCAGACCCCAGGTAGCCACTTGCTCCAACCTTTCTCTCCCATTACAATACTAATAAATACTTAACTCTACCTTGTGGTTTCTTGATTGCATCCACCTACAGGGCCTAAGTGTGACATATGAGAGAGAAATGTGACGAGTTAAAAATGTTTATTTGCTGGTAGAACTCACTGTGCCAGGTATGGGGTTCATAACAGGATATGGAGTGGGTCAGAGCTGCTTCTTTCCAGGCTGGCACAGCGTTTCGCAGCAGTACAACCTCTGCCAGGAAGCTGCAAAGCCTTGCTCCATAGTCTTGAAAACCACTTATGAGCACTGTGTAGGAGGGAAGAGCTCTGCTGTGGTTTAGGTTTAGCAGCAGCAAAAGAATTAGCAGAAGAAGCAGAAACCGGAAAAGGGTGAAAGGCACCAGTGGTTTTGGTAGTTAGCTGCATCCCAGGGACTTCAGGAATCTCATGTCATGTACTTTGACTCCCTCCTGCCCACTTTCAGACTCATGTCCCTGCCATAGCATCCGCTTTTTTTTTTTTATCTTTTAGTCTACAACCCTTTCTTTACCTGTGGTTTGTTGTCTTATCTGCTGTTTGCTGCAAATACTCCCACAACAGCATAGAGCACTTGATTTGAGGTTCTGTAAAAAAATAAACCAAACAAAAAACATCTGTCCTCTGAAATGCTTTCTGCTAGTATATTTGATCTTTTCTTGATTACTGAACTTAAAATCCAGGTTTGAGCTCCCTGTGCAGAGCAGGGGTTGGGACTCTCAAAGTGCATGATCAAACAGGGGCAGTACATGCTGGAGAAGCCCCGTGGTGGATCAGAATGATGTTGCCATCTTTCTTCTTTGCCCGAACAACCCTTACTGTGGGGGCATAGGAAAGGAGCAGAGCACAAGCACTTTGCTAAGACCAGCCCCTTCTCTTTCTGAGAAGACACACACAACTTTCTCTGGCAAGTATTTTAATGCTGCAGGAATCTTGGTTCTGAGGGGCAACTCTTCGGGGACAGAGCAAGGACAGGTGTTTTCAGCATGATTTTACAGGGCCGTGTGCATTAAGAGTTTAAACTCAGCCTGGCTAAGGCAGCTGCAACAGATGGCTGCTGTAGCTGAACCACTAACTGTGACGATGCTTTCTTCAAGCGGGACAGGTCCCCTTGGTGTTTCCCTAGCTTCTCTAGTTCCTTTCCTTTCTGGGGAAGAGCTCAGCAAGAAATGGATGGCTGCTCTACCGCAGGTCCTTTGCCCATAAATTTATTTTTTTATTACTTTCTATGGGTGGGGAAGGTGAACCCACCATGGTTATGGTGAGCACATGGTTAAAAGAAGTATCCACTGTATTTCTTCTGAGACATCAGATATGTCACCTTCTCTGGAGTTTGTTCTGCATCCCCTTAGCTAGAGTACACTGTCCTCCATCACTGATATTTCTCATTAGGTGTGACTCTCACCTTATGCTTCACCAAGCAGAAAAACAAAGCACAGGGAGTTGTCATCTCTAAGTAAACCTGACCCACCTCTGAGATTTACTTACACTTGTGTATGTCAGGATGGACTTGCTGGACTGAAATCAGCTTAATTCTGCTGGTGGGAAACAGGCATATGAGGAACATCTCTGCCCTCTGTGCTACCTAGTGCCAGGTGAGGAATAATTAAACTAAATTTGGTCCTAAGAATTGATCCCCATCGTCCATCTGAGCTCTAGCCTGGAATAGGCAATTATTTACTTCCTACCTCCTACCTTGAGTGTTTCTGCCCCATCCTCTGCATTTTAGGACAGAGGCATTTTCTGCTTGATCCGTGTGGATATAAACAGCACAAAGGGAGCTATAAGGAAACTCCTCGCTATTCCTCATTCTAACTGCTGCCAGCTTGCTACAGGGTACAAATCATTACAAGCTTGGGTAGCTTCCCTACCTGGAGAGGCGTCAGCAGCTCTGGTGCATCAGTAACTATCAGGAAGTAGATGCCCATTCCTATGCAACAGCCATTCTGCAAATTACAACTGCTCCAGAGTGTCTGTCCATGTGGTTGCTTTTGGTTGTCTCCTTGCAAGTCAGATAGGCTGGTTATCTGTTAAATAGGAAGAGAGAGGGTGAACAGAGGAAATCAGGCAGTTTCCTCTTTATCATGAACAAAAGTTTGCTTGGCTGGTCTGAACATTGCTAGCAGACTGGCCTATCTGCAAAAACTGAGCTCTTCCACTAGCATGAAAGGAAAGAGAAGTAAAACCAAATCTCCTGGGGGGAAAGTAGAAAAGAAAAAAACACTCAGACCACCTCTTTGGAAGTTTGCAGCCAAGGCAGAGTGGGGCGGACAGGGAGATTTCACTATGGGTTGTAGGGCATTGATGTGCGAAGGTGGCAACCAGCTGCTGCTCTTCAGTCTCAAGTGGGAGATGTATTCTATCAACTTTTTGCCAGCACAGAGGGTTGCTCTCCCCCTCATACAGGGCCCTGCAGCAGCCCCAGCAGGTCTCTCGTTGCCTATAAACAGAAGATCTTGCCTCAAACTGGGTCCGCATAGCTGAGTTTTTGGGCTGTATTCACAGAAATACAAGCAACAAGTCTGTGTTGCCATTACTGTAATTGCTCTGGTGCCAACTAAATACAGGACTTCAGATTAAAAAACTGCCAAGGTTTTACAAACACTAGGTCTTCCGATATGAAATCATCATACTAATGGTCTGGATCCAAAGACTCAATGCAGTTTTCTAATATCAAGCTAAATGAGCTTGTGCCACTGAAGTTACTCTAGATGTTTCTGTTACTTCTGTTCACTGTGAATTAGTATTGAGCTAGGGAAGGCCTTTGGGGGTTAGGAAAAGGACACAGTAAGAACACTGAAAGGGCTACAAAGAGACACGCTGTAAAGCCAAGCCACCCTGGGACCAATGTTAGAAAAGGAGACAGACATTTGCACACTTCAGTGTGTTACTGTGGGTTAAAGCCTGGAGAAGGATCAGAAACGCTCAATACAGAGTCAAATGGGTATTAGAGGCTTACCAGCACAGCCTGGTACAGGGAGTAAATGTTTGTGCCTACCTGCTGTCACAGCACTGCCTGTCAGAAAGCTCGTATGGCAGCTTGTGCTCCCCCCATCCCCAAACACTGTGTCCTCTTGTGTGTGCCCTTGTCCAGGTCCACTGCGTGCATCCTCAGCTCAGGGCAGGGTGACCTGCTTACATGTCCGGACATGGAGGCAGAGGCACACGCACCTTTGTCCCTACCACTCCTGCCATGCAAAGAGCAGAATTGCTGCTGCCATCTGGTGGGAGAGCAGCCTGGCTGCCGGCCTCATCCACTCCAGTTTGTATTCATTTTGCCTTCTAAAAGAGGTGAACTCTTCTCGAGTGTTCTTTAGAGTTTATGCAGCCTGTTATAGAACCACAGAATCATAGAGTGGTTTGGGTTGAAAGGGACCTTCAACAGCATCTAATTCCAACCCCCTGCCATGGTCAGGGAAACCTCCCACTAGACCAGGTTGTTCCAAGTCCCATCCAATCTGGCCTCAAACAATTCCAGGAATTGGCAGGACAGAGCAAAAAGCTGAGATGTCCTTGGCTTAGTATAAGCACTGCTCTGCAACAATTAAAGCATCGGGGTGTTATCAACACTCTTCTCATCCTAAGCCAAAACACAGCATTCCACCAGCTACTAGGAAGAAAATTAATTCTGTTCTAACTGAAACCAGGACATACAGCCACAACTTCTCTGGGCAACCTTTTCCAGTGTCTCACCACCCCTCATAGTAAAGAATTTATTCCTAATATCTAATCTTTTTTTTTTTTTTTTTTTTTGGTTTGAAACTATTATTCCTTGTCCTGTCACTACAGTCTCTGACAGAGTCCTTCCACAGATTTCCTGTAGCCCCCTTTAGGTAGTGGAAGGCTGCTATAAGGTCTCCCTGAAGAGCAAGGCCTGAGCATCCCTATTCCATAGTCCAAGACCTGTAACTATGGGACAACCTCTGTTCAGCCAACCTAAACATTCTGAACATCACTGTGATACCTGATACAAGCACTCATGTTCTGGGAGGCTTCTGGGCTACTTGTTCATGCCAGGAGCAAACATGAAAACTGCTCCTGTTGCACAGACTGCATGAGAAGGTGCAGTTCTCGAACCTAGCTTAGCAGTCAGTGGAGCCACTACTCTGACCATACATGGAAGGAACGCCGGTTTGTTCTGAAGAGTATTCAGTTTTATTTAAGAATTCAAAATCAATTGTATTTTAATTTTCTCTGCTTTTAGGCAACCAGGAAATTACAAAGATTCTTTTGCAAAGGGCTGATCTGGTAGATAAAGGTGATCAGGCTACCTACAGCTGCAAAGACAGGTTCACTGTGGCAGCTGGAGGAGCACAGACTGTCCGGAAGGCAGGTAGGTGATGTTGCGGGACCGTGAGAGCTGATAAGCAATGTCTTCAGCTGCCTCCAGCTTGCGTAGTTCAATCAATCCATCACCTGCAGTGGCCAGTGAATTGGCAATCAGCTCAGCTGCTTTTGAGTCTCCCTCAGCAGAGATGACAGCTGCTTTCTTCTGCTGCTCAGCCTGAGAGGGAACAAATGAGAAGGAAAATGAAACACAGAAAACAAGAGCAAAAGGTAAGGAAAATGCTACTGTCCTGTTTAAAGTAGCAATTCCTATTTCACCACCCTACTGCTCTTTCCCCAATTAGGATACTTAAGAGAGATAAAACAGAAGGTGGTTTTATTTTAAAGTTGTATTTTGACTTCTTTTTTTTTTTTTTTTTGTCTACTGTGGAAAAAAGGTTTAAAAATCTTTTTGAGATTGTCTTAATCTCATGGAACATCAACCCACCTAAGGGTACTCCTAGTAGAAAGTTATCTAAAAAAGATTTGAGATCTTTGCCAGTGGAGCTAAATAAACTCTTGTGCTGTTTAAGTATCCTGTCTGATTACATGCATCTTACTACATCCACTGGATGAATTCTGGGTGTAGCTTCATGTTCTTGCAATCTTAACAGGTGTTTAGCAGGTTCTCAGCTCTATCAGGGTAGTTTTACATGAAATTATTTCTGTGGGTGTTCAGGCTCCTCACTGACATCCTGGGTTGATGTGAGATTACATAGTCTCCCATGCAATTAATAACACTCCTATGACACAGGCGTCATGCCCATGATACCAAACACGACGGAAAACTTCAGCCACCTCTCAAAATTCACAAGCAGCAGGATCACTCAGGTTGATCTCAACCTTTAAAGGTAAATCTCAACCTTTATCCCCATTTATAAGTAACATTTTCCCTTGAGAGTATTCTCTCTTCCCATCCTTGCAGGCACTTCTGTCCTGAAGTCTTACAAGATTATGACATGAAATAAAAAAGGAAAAAGAAAAATGAACAGAACATTAGGCTTTACCTATCCAACAATGATGGGCCAGAGCTGAGAGCTGTATAAGCATTATGACCCTCTGACATCTCTCATTCACCTGTCCAGTACCCTGAACAGGAGGATGTTCACTACAAGCTGGATTGGCAAAGAGATACCAGGAACTGTTTCCAAGCTAAAGTTCCTCTGAAGGATAACGTACCTTTTCCACAATAAATCTGGCTCGTTCTGCTTCCTGCTGGGCCACTTGCTTCATTTCAACCGCCTCAGTGAACTCCTTGCCAAAGGTCAGATGTGTCTGGAGGACAGAAATCACAATACACAACAATGACAATTTACTGCAGCACTGCTATAAACAGCACACCTCTGAGGTAGAAGGCAGCCTGCCTGTATCTGTGAAGAAGGAAAACCAGTATCTCTAAAAGAACTGCAAAGTAACAGGAACTATACCAAGCAGGCCTTCTCAACTTGTTTGGAAGAGTCAAGAGAAAAACCGTAAGCACAAGCCTGCAGTCTGCCAAACAGCCATGAACTTCTCATGCTCAATTATTCAGTGGCATGCTCTGCCTGAGCTGCTGTAGATGCATACAGATCACTGGGATATTACAGGGGAAAGGGGAGTTTCCTTAAGTGGTATATTTAGAAAAAAAATTAAAAAATAATTAGAAAGCCACCTTCCTGTGAACACTTCCTATATGTTCAAAGCTAAATGAGAGTTACTTACTTTAGGCAGATTTTGTGAAGGAAATCTCAGAAGAGAGATATGCACATTTAAGTCAGACTGCACAAGGTTTCATTTTCAAAGCTTATAAGGAGGTAGAGGGAAGGATGGGAGAGCTCCCTCCCTCGAATAGCCTTAGAAGACATTACAACCAGGAGAAAGTAGCATACATAGTAGAAAAAAAAAATGCTATCAAAAGTATACATTTTCACTGCCTCCTTATGCCTAAGACTTTCCCCTGTGTCTCAGGGTGCCTGTGGAACAGCAGCCTTTCTTTATAGCAAACTGCAGACTGATCTATCACCCACAAAATCATTTTCTTCTCATTTTTAACTATAAAAGCCCTACAGTAGTGGAGTCTGTTGATAAGCCAGTGCATTGGAGCCTGCAAGAGCTTGTTCAAGGTCACAGAAGGCCAGTGACAATACTAGAGGTACTGATTTGAACTGTAACCACTACACCACGTGCAACTGCAGACAAACAAACATAGTCTAAACTTCCAGGCCCCTTCTTTGGTCATCCATTGATTCTCTTCCCTACTGCTCTTATTTGGGCAAAGAGAAAAACTGAAAAGGAAGAACCCTTACCAAGGATACATCATCCAGAATCAGGCCAAAAGTTGCTGCTCTCTCTGTGAGGTCTTCACTCACTTGCCTGGAGACCAGCTCTCTCTGAGTGATCAATTCTCCAGCATCAAAGCGAGCCTGAAGTCAGGGTGAACAACAGTGAGAAAATGGCTCCTATAAATGATTCTCCATGCCTGCTCATCTTTGCACCCATAAGCCCCAGAGTTAATCCAATTCATCTCCCAAAGCTTGCAAACACTGAGCTACCCATGCATTTCAGCATTGAACAGGCTGCCCAGAGATGTGGTAGAGTCACCATCCCTGGAGGTATACAAGAAATGTGTGGATGTAGTATTTAGGGACATGGTTTAGTGATGGACTTGGTAGCATTTGGTGATGGTGGGACTTGATGATCTTAATCATCTTTTCTAACCTAAATGATTCTATTTGAATTAAGAGAAAGATTGGGAATTGCTGTCCAACTGAGCACCTCACATAGAAGTATACAAACTGTACTACAGATGGTTAGAGCTTATTCAGTAGTCCCCTAGGGATGCTTCCAAAACCAGAAAACTTCAGAAAGCTGAAATGTAAGAATAAATGAGAAGCGAGAATCCAAGTCTTCTGACTCAGACTCCCACTCTGAAAGGCAGCACTAACAGCAAGTTGTGAAGACGCCTCCTTCCATCCAGACATCATTCCACTTGAGTGAAGGCCAAGCAGTTAGAATGACAGAGGAACACAAAATTGTAGCATAGCTACAATTAGCTCTTCTGGATTGCCCATTACAGCTGGAGGTGGAAAGAGATTTCTTAGTTTGGAGCACTACATCTTACATCTTCTACGCTCTGTCTGGTCCCTTGGATACTAAACAGAAGAAATGTGACAGGTGGAGCTCAGCAGTTTTCACTCCATTCTTACCACAACAGACTTCAGGATTTCAGTTGTGATTGACGGCAGAACACGCTCATCATAGTCCTCTCCAATACTTGTGAAAATCCGGGGTAACTGGGCAGTCACTGGTCTAAACAGAATACGTAATGTGATGTTCACATTCTGCAGATCTGGAGAAATACAGCCAGAAGTTTAGCTGCAAACCACAGCAACAGGAAATATTTTGAAGTTGTCCTCTCTAGAGTAACTAAATGAGAAAGGATAAACACTCGGACTTCTTTTTGCCAACCAAAATGAGTAACTTAATATTCCTTCCATCTAGGGATCCAAATCTTCCTTACAGATAGGATTTAAGCTTCAGTTTCCAATGCAGGAAATTACTGGCCCTACTGTACACATAGAGCTTTTATGTTTAAGGGAAGATTTACAGAACTGAAGGAAGGATCCCTTAATCCATTCTGTAACTGGAAGACAGATCAAACCATTACTGATGCTGTGCCAAACTGGACTCAGCATATATGGAAACCCCGTGTCCAGAAGAGAAAACCCTCACGCAAATATTCCTTTTCTGCAGGCTAGAGATCATAGAAGTCACGACTGTGATAAAGTTTTTTCTCATGCCTCTGTCCATCTAGCTGCTAATTAAGCAGTGAACTCATACAGCTGTCTGGTTCAAATACTCACCTTTGCTGCCAGTGATGACAGGTATGTTACGAGGGCGAGAACGGCAATCAAAAATGATTGGTTTCTGTACCCAGGGGATGAGGAAGTGGGTACCTTCTCCTACTACTGTGTCCTGGACCCCACGGAATCGGTCAAAGATAACGGCTCTGTGGCCTGCATCAACTGTGGAAGCAATAGTGGTTTAACTATTATCACCAGCTTAAAGTACACACCATCAGAACCTTCTCTGTAGAAACAATCTACTGAGATGAGTTAAGATTGTTTGCTATAGGAAACTGGTGACATTAATTATACTGTCAGGAATAACAAAGGAAATGAAAAGTCTCAGCCATAACTGGTGACCCCTCAGGCTGCTCACAAGAGCAGCATCTAATTTGACAGCTTTCTTGAGAAAGGACTCTGCAATCCTCTTGCCTATGGAACATATAAGGCATAAAACAGCTCAGCAGGGCTTCGTGACTGTTTTCCCCAGATGCCGTTAGCAATAAAAGCACAAAGCAACCAAAATGCTGACAAAAAGAATATAAAGTGATATCCTTTATGAAGTAAAAGACATACTGCCACTCACCATTGTAAAGAGCAGAATTAACTACTCCACCTGCAACAGCCAATCCCAGGCCAAATTTCCCAAGGCTTTCAAACACTTTTGCAGCCATTTCACATGTGAAGTTCTAGCCCCTTTAAGAAGCCCCTCCTGCAAAAACACACAACTTTGCATGCACTTGCCCACAGATCTGAGAATTAATCCTCCTCCAAAAATCCCAACCTGCGACGTCAGCGTTCACCCCAGCAGCTCCTTTTCTCCCCCTCAACGGCCACTTCAGCCACACCGGCACCCTCCACCCCGAGCTATTTCTCCCTGCAGCTCTAAGCCCAAGGTCCTCGCGGACGCCCGCGCCCCGGGGCCTCCTCCCCGCCGCAGCACCACCCCGCAGGCCCGAGCCGCCCGCCCCTAGGCCGCGGCTCTGCCCCCCCCCCGCCCCGCGCTGCCCCGATCCCCGCTCTCCTCTACGCTGCCCCCCCCTCCTCCCCCCTTCCTCCTGCTCCATGGCCGCTCACCCCTAGGCCGGGCGCCTCGCGAGCCCACGTCCTGCTGCCTCCCGCGGCCCAGCCCGGCCCAACCCCGCTCCCACGCAGCAGCCCGGGCCCCGGAGCCGCCCCCGCTTCTCGCTTCTCTCCCCCCTCCTCCCTCCTCCCTCCTCCTGCAGCGCCCCTGACCTCCACATGAATCCACGACCGCCAGCCACACTGCGTCTGCGCACTATGCCAAGACGCCCGCTCCTTATTGGCCCACGCTTCTTCGTGGCGTTCTGGGAAGTGTAGTTCTTCTCCGCCTTGCCGGGCAGTGTACGATTCCAGGCGAGCCCAGCGGCGGCCCCCTGGTTGAGCAAGACCACTCGCCATTGGCTGCGTCTCTCCCGCTGCAGTTTGTCCTGGGAACTGTAGTCCTGGTGGACTGAAGACAAGCAGGGGCTGCCCTGGTGCGGTGTCCAGGACAGGGGAACGCTGAGACTTGCGAGGGTTCTGAGTTGTTACCTAAATGCTCAGACGGGGTGGAGCAGCGTGTGCCCACTCCTTTCCAACCACAGGAGAAAACGTGGCTGGAAGTGGCCTTTCCCAGTATTTCCTGGGCAGAGGAGCAGTGGGTTCCGGGGTTGTGGGGGGCCATGGCTGCCCCTGGCAGTGCACAGAGGGCTGTCAGACAGCCCAGTGAGTGTCCAGAGCTGAAGGGCACCATAAATGGTTTTCTGAGAAGTGGCAGTGATGACAAAAGCAGGGACCCCAGAAGCCTAGTCACATCCCCTGCAACATTCCCAGCTAGGTCCTGCAGCCAACTGCTATGCACATAGTCATCCCTTTGGTGTGAGAAACCAGACAGCCCCAGAGTCACCCTGGCTCCTGCTGTGAGCACAGGTGCTGGCAGGGGACAAAGGCCCCTTATTCCATTACCATGAGCCTACCATTTGGCCCAGCAACCCCCACAAGCAGGAAGACCAGTGCTGCTGAAAGGAAGCTTTGCCATTGCCTCCATGACTCCTGACTAAAAGGGAAACAACAGGAGAAACAAACAAACAAATGAACAAAAAACAAACATGACACTGCCCAGGGAGACTCCAGAAAATGCCCTTCTTGCACAGAGGCATCCACGTTCACTGTGCACCCACTGTGGCACCTTCCCTGGTGTTTTCCCTCCAATGCGACACTTCTGAGTACAGGGGACTTCATTACCTCCCAGACCAGGCCCACTCCTGACCGTGTAGCAGGGAGAAAATGATGATAAACCCTCTCTTTTAAGGTCCAGCAGATCCCAGGAGCAATTAGGGAACGTTGTGTCCTCTCCGTGAGCTCAGAGGAGGGCCCCTTTCTTATC